ATTGAAACTTTTTGCGGACGATTTTGTAATCGGATATGTTCCTTATATCGTAACTACAATACCCTTCCCTTTTCACGAATGTGACGTACCGAATAAGACTACTTACCGGATTTGTAATAACATAAGCAACAAGACGGGTCACATGTGGAACAGGATCTGTTTACCCTTCTGGAGCACCTGAGATCACCCCCAGTTTTTGGTGGGGTTCGTGTTGCTTAGTCTTTAGTTTTCTATGTTGAGTCACCTGTACTATTATTTGTCTGTTTGTCTGTTTATTTTTGGCCATGGCGTTATCAGTTGGTTTTCGATCTATGAGCTTGACTGTCCCTAGGGTATCTTTCGTCCCTCTTCTTATGATTTTAAACAAGAAATTAGATGGAATAAACCAGTGGCCTATGTTACGTGGAGGTAAACCATCAAGAAGACAGGGATTCGTCTATTCTATAAGTGAGACAAGTGCTGCAATACGGTAAATATCATTGTTCTTTGTTTAAAGACAGTTTGCTTATATCATGTTCAAATTTGATTTTTATATGTATACGTCTAAAGAGAGAGAGAGAGAGAGAGAGAGCATACACTAGAAAAGACATCTAGAAGTTAAATAAGACAATTTCATTACTTGTTCATCTCTTTAAAACTACTTTTATTCAAACAAGCATTACCCAATTACTTATTTTACGTGTGTTTGACGTAATACATTATAAACCTAGTATTATTGATGATTGATTACAACCACTAGGACGATGCCTCTCCTGGTGGATGTTTCGTCCCCGAGATACAAGAAGATTAAAATGTTAACAAATATAAATGACTTTATAAATCGCAAAAATGATATACATTATACTTCAATCTATTGTTCTTCACCTAAGCTGTACTTCTTTCGGAATTTTGGGTCCTGAATGTTCTTCAATTTTGTACTTTATTTGGCCTTTTAACTTTTTATTCGAGCATCATTGATGAGTCTTTTGCAGACGAAACGCACACCTGGCGTACAAAATTTTAATCCTGGTATCTATGATGAGTTTATCTATATCTGCGAATTTAGATACCTTAATTCGGCTATTAAGACAGAACATGAAACCAATTTAAACACCAAAGAAAACAAATTATCTATTTTAGTATACCGTTCTCTGGAATAAGTATGTCGTGTTGTAACCAAGTTGGCAATTCACTTCATGTTTTGATCTTATTTCAGAATTGGTGACTACAAACTTATTGTAGGAAGTCCGGGAATTTATAACCAACGGTTTACAATACCCAAAACAAAATCGTTTTGTAACAGTGGAGATATCGTCGATGATATATTTTTATACGACAATTTGAACAATGCTGTCCGAAATATTAAGAGTTATTTCAGTTGGGTTGGAAGTAGATTGCCTGGATATTCTTATTGGCAACATTATAAACGATTGCAAGCGCTACAGAAGTGTAAAAAAAAGGTTAAGGAAGAAAGACAGAAGTGGGTGTTTCCTAAGTTCCTGCTATTTAATATTAAAGGTATGAAAATACTGAGTATCTAAAGATATGATGTTTGTGTTATAGATTACTGGTATCCCGCCTGATTAATATTGTAAGTGTTAACACAAAGGAAACCAGAATTAGCAAGAAGAGGTTATTTGCGATCATTACTGTAGAAAATAGTTCAGAGTTTTGTTTCATTAAAATATTTTTCTATATTTTCTATAGTCTTTTATTATGCTGCCATTGTTAACTCATCTTATGATCTGCATACCTTTACGGAGCACCGATCATGCTGCCATTGTTAACTTATCTTAGGATCTACCTACCCTTCCGAAGTACGTGAGATCACCCCGACCATGCTGGCATTGTTAACTCATCTTAGGATCTAGTTACCCTTCCGAAGCACCTGCGATTACCCCGATCATGCTGCCATTGTTTACTCATAATGTCAAACAAGGCAGAGAGCATTATAAATTGAAGTTCAACAGTAAAGAAAAGTAAAAGACAAGAAATGGTAGCATAAAAGAGGGACGAAAGATACCAGAGGGACAGTCAAACTCATAGATCGAAAAAAAACTGACAATGCCATGGCCAAAAATAAAAAGACAAACAGACAAATAATAGTACAGATGACACAACATAGAAAACTAAAGACTAAGCAACACGAACCCCACCAAAAACTGGGGGTGATCTCAGGTGCTCCGGAAGGGTAAACAGATCCTGCTCCACATATGGCACCCGTCGTGTTGCTTATGTTATTACAAATCCGGTATATAATCTAATTCGGTAGGTCACATTCGTGAAAAGGGAAGGGTATTGTAGTTACGAAATAAGGAACATATCCGATATCATCTGTGAAACGGTTATTCCATAACGGTCAACCAACTCGTGATGGCGTCCGTAAAATTTACGAAGGGATGATTTCAATTTCACCATTTGGAACTCTTGGTTTAATAGCTTCCTTGTGAGCAGCAATTCTCTATCAAGGAAATCATGATAGGAAATACAAGCCCGGGAATATCGTATCAATTGGGAGATATATACTCCGTATGCAGGTGCTGCTGGAATGTTGCTACATAGAAATGGAAAGTTCACAATTGGGAAGCTGAAATCATCTCTTTTGTCGTAAAGTTTTGTTTTCAACCGACCCAAACACAGGGGTAAATATATGAAAACAAACAAAAAGACACATGTCAACAAAGACCATCTGGCAAGAAATTGAGCATCTAAAAAACCCTATGTCGTTGGTAATGAGACACGAAATGGATGAAACAATACATCCTTTGACAGAATGGAATTACAACAAATAGAAATAAAAGAAGAATGTGTCTAGGGACACGAACTAAGGACACGAATGGCCCTGCTCAAGTATTGCAATTTTCCAAGTTAAAAAGGGGCATAACTCTAGAACGGTAAATGACTCACTAGCAAAGTTCAAACTCTGTCTGCTTGTTGTGGTTTTTAGCATTGTGTATAAGTTTCATAAAATTTGGATGAGACAAACTTAAGATAGAGTACGGAAACAAACAAATTTTCAATTTTCCAAGTTATAAAGGGGCATAATTCTAGAACGGATAATGACATACTGCCACAATTTAAACTCTGTCTGCGTGTTTTGGTTTTTAAGCGAAAAAGACGGACGGTCAAGGGTAACACTTAACGCCCCTGTTGCCTACGGCGGGGGCATAAAAACTAGATCATACAGCAAGCAAAGACACACTAAGTAACAACAAGGAATACAACCCCCTAGAAATGACAAAAACACAACAAACAATACATAGAAACTAAAGCAACACGAACCCCAATACAAACCGGGACTATTTCAGGTTCTCCGGAAGGGTAAGCAGTCCTGGTCCTCATGCTAAACCAGTCATTATGCACACGGCTATGTATTTTGTATTTACAATTTTCGGGAAAAAAAAACTGTTTTAAACGTGTCATTGATCTCGTAAATTTTACAATTACATTTCCGATGCTAGCTTCCTTGTCTTTTCAAACTTTAGTTACATAAAGTCTGTTTTCCTAGCAAGACCAAATAAATAACACATTTTAATAATTTATGTTTATAAAAATACAGTTAAAAAAAATGTACACTAAATATGAAGAAATAAAATTGAGTTGTCACTCCTTCTGTAGTATTAAGAAAGAAAACATTTAAAAAAAATGTTTGTGCAGAAACGATAGATATTCTGTCGGATAGAACTTTCCGTTTATGCAGATAGAAGGAAATCCGCTCCCTCTTACACAACGGAAACCACTATTAACGACTGATTCCTAGAAAGACAAAATGAAGAACAAATTTCAATAGTGTATATATATAAAAGTATACTTTACATTAAATGTGCACTTAATCGTCAGACAAAAAACCGTGTAACTTTTTCTTTATTAGTAAAAAATAATGTTTTACTTTATTGGCGACGGATTTGTTGTAGAAGGAATTGCCATCCAGCTAATTTTTCTCGTCTATGGTTGTTTTTTCTTCGGATTGGTGTCCATGATCTCCAACATTGCTGACTTGTTCACCATTCTAATGAAACAAGCCAACCGAATGTACTCTACCACTTAATCTTTCGTTTTCTCTGGGACTGCTATACTATAATAGTCCCAGGTTTTCTATTTTAATTTTTTAAGACATGCTTGTCGTTTTATTGTTTTTGCAATAACTTTATCAATTTCTCTTTGAGTACCTCGGCATTATTAGTTTTCGACAATGCCGCTTCAAGAGAACGCAACGTTTTTGAACAGAAACATTCACAATCATTTACCAAAGTTCAAACACGGCATTGGGCGTATGGTACATACTACCTGGGTTTTATAAACGACGTCGTCAATTCATGTAAACGAATTTCACAAATTGTTTCCGTCACTGCCGTCGTAGCTAGAACTATACATTTTCAGGTATTTTATATTTTTGAAATGATCCTGGCTGTACCTGTAAAAAACTTAATATCGCTCGAAAAATTTCTGAATTTCGCTCCATTTCGTTTACATCCAGTATCGACTTCCGGTTAATTGATGTTCCTTCCGGTCATCCTCTTCATGCTGACATGTGAACAAGGATTTCGCTTGAGAATCAGTTTCTCAAAAAGAGTTCAACTTTCCCTATAAATTTCCGCAAGTAAATTAAACAACCAATTTGAATATTAAAAAGGAAAAGAATACGAATAGGATTTAAAAAGGAAAACCCCTTCTGTTGTATTTGTTTCTTCGTTTGTATCCGGAACCTTACATCAGAAGTGTTATGTATAAAATCAATATTATATCTATGTGTTACTTAGTGTGCACCCCCATTATATAAGTATTTACAAACAACTTACTAAACTATCCTGAGTTTCGGTTTCCTTTTCGGTATCGGTTTCGATTTCGGCTTATGGTGAAGAAGGATTTTCTATAAACGTTAATTGGTTTTCCAGAAAAAAAGCATACTACTATTATAATTTAAATAAGTTATCAACAAAAGATAATAAAACTACTGTCAAGGCTTCATTCAGATATGATATAGATAAATTTATCCATTTAAAAACAGCACATTGTTCTTTCAGTCATAACAATACGCTGACAAGTATAAAGTATCAGTAATATTTTACCGTTTTCAAATATTTGGAAATCTTAAGAGGTATGTAGAATACATTTAGTTTTTTTTTCAACAGATATTTTGGTACTGATCATTTGATCAAAATTGAAGTTTTAAAGCATAAAAGAGAGGCGAAAGTCGAAAATAAACTGACAATGATAATTAACATGTAACGTGAGGGTACCCAAATTGCACCCATTTTGGCAGTTTGTGTCTCGCCTAAGACGAGAGTCGCAGTATGCGAGACATAGGGATTACAATCTGGCGACGGCGTAAAATATTTGTATAATAATAATAATAATAATAATGATAACTAGAATTGCTATTGCAAGCAATAGCGGATGTCATTCGCCCCCATTGCAACTAAGTGGCAGCCATTTTGAAAATTCCAAATTTGAATGCCAGATATATATATGCCAGTTAACATTTCTGTAAAGTTTCAGAAAGTTTGGAGCATTTTGAAATATTCACATATTTGCTGTTTCCATGGCAATGGCGGCCATTTTGGAAATTCCAAAGTCAAGTCTCATCTATATTTTGCAAGTTAACATTTATATTAAGTTTCATTAAGTTTGGAGCATTTTGAAATTTTTAAAAATTTTTGCTGGTTTCCATGGTAAATAGTTATCAAAGGTACCAGGATTATAATTAAATACGCCAGACGCGCGTTTCGTCTACATAAGACTCATCAGTGACGCTCAGATCAAAATAGTTATAAAGCCAAACAAGTACAAAGTTGAATAGGAAAAATTGAGGACGCTAAGGTAATCTATTCCTGGGATTAGAAAATCCTTAGTTTTTCGAAAAATGCAAAGTAAAAATGACCATATAATTGATATTCATGTCAAACAGTGACCATTCCCAAAATTTTAATGACAGATTCCACATTGGTACATGAGAGGGAACATACCATCAATTTTTCAATGAGTTTGACCTACCTTTTTAAGAGAGGAAATGCTACTTTAAGTTTTTTGAAGCATTTTGACCTTTCTTAAATTGTTTCCATGATAACGACAGCCATTTTGAAATTTCCAAAGCCAACTGCCACATCTACACATGCCAGCCAACATTACAGTAAAGTTCCAACAAAAATGACCATTTCGAAATTTTTGCTGTTCTTTCCATGGCAACATAGTAATTCCGATGATTGTCAAAATTATCCAAATCCCGTATATAGTGGACAACGACATTGTATTAAAATCAAATGATTTTAAGTTTAAGGATACTCAAATAATTCACCAAACTCCAAAATTTATTTTTCACTTTTTCGGTTTCCATGGCAACGACAGCCATTTTTTAGTTCCAAAGTTGCACTGCAAAAAAAAGGTGGAAGAATAATAATAATGAAAAAAAAGAAACGGAGGAAAAGCAATCTGTCACCCGACATTGTCGATCGGTTGACATAATAAATTCTTTATTTAAAGAGGGCCATTCAATTAGAACTAGTCTAATTTTCAATAAGGCCCTCAAACAAAATACATGTATATAGTTTACATTCATACATCAAAATACAACATATGTCATAGGTTTGAACGTTGTTTTCAATTTAGACTTGTTTATATTTTTTCGTTTGGGCTTGTATTTTATTTGCCTTCGGGTTTATATGATCCGTTCATCCTATTTCGACTCTTCAAAATTCAAGAGTCAATCCCAAATTGAGGTAAATTATATGGCCTTCCAAATACCGTTTCGATTCCTAACATCACTGAAGAGACATTAATTGTCGAAATCCGGATATGGTGTACAAATTTTTGCACCTCATGTTTGCGGTATACCATCTTAACCGCAAGTTTTTTTTTGTTTTCTATTTGGTATTAGATTAAAATTAAGATCCATTTTGTTACATCTGTGATCTGTTTATTTTGCAATCGCCATGGCAGTCAGCAGGGTTTAAGAACATCCGTTGTTCGACCTGCTAGTCAAATGCGTTTTGTTAAAATGTACTTTTTCACTGTTTGGTCTTTTTGGAAAATGTTGTTTGTGCTGTATTTAGACCCCTCTACCAAGAAATTTGTTTTGCATGCACACGTATAAAAATTGCGGTTTTTATCCAACGCATTCATAGGTTTGAACGTTGTTTTCAATTTAGACTTGTTTATATATATATATATATATATATAAGTGGCTTAAAATGTAACTATAACACATTCTCAAGACTTTGAGACTCCCAAAGGAGAAAACAGAGAGAAAGGTTCTGGATGCATTAGCTACGTACTCTTAAACCCGATGGACTTAATGAGAGAGATAAAAAACAGTTCTAACCAAAACCAAAAGAATAAATCCCGAACTTCATTCTATTTAACTAAAACAACTATTTGTGTTGATTAAAGAATTGCTATGTACAATAAGCGGCAAAAATATTTTTCTAGACATTTAACATTGAGCTGCAAAAATTTATTCACAGCCTCTAACTTTAACCTTGTTGGCTACACGCGCCTGATGAAGCTAATTTGTTTACAGAAATATTGCGTGAATAATATAAAATATAACAACTAATTTCATAACACTCATTAGTGTGTTAAAGTTACATTATTAGGTACTTATATAGTTTAATGTAGTAACTGCATCAGTTTATTTACAAACTGATCCACGCCTAGATAGATTGAATGTTGATTGTTGCTATTTTTTAACACTATATATATATATACATATATATATATATATATATAAAAGTCTAAATTGAAAACAACGTTCAAACCTATAATTGCGTTGGATAAAAACCGCAATTTTTATTCGTGTGCATGTAAGACAAATTTCTTGGTATAGGGGTCTAAATACAGCACAAACAACATTTTCCAAAAGACCAAAAAAAGTGAAAAAGTCTATTTTAACAAAACGCATTTGACTAACAGGTCGAACAACTATGTTCTTAAACCCTGTTGACTGCCATTGGCGATTGCCAAATAAATTGATCACCAGATCTAACGAAATGGATCTTAATATTAATTTAATACCTAACAGAAAACAGTAAACTTGTGAAAAGATGGTACACCACAAACATGAGGTGCAAAATTTTGTACACCATATCCGGATTTCGACAATTAATGTCTCTTCAGTGATGTTAGGGATCGAAAAGGTATTTGGAAGGCCATATAATTTACCTCAATTTAGGAGTGACTCTTGAATTTTAAAGAGTCGAAATAGGATGAACGGATCATATAAACCCAAAGGAAAATATAATACAAGCCCAAACGAAAAAAATATATAAAAGTCTAAATTGAAAACAACGTTCAAACCGATGATTGCGTTGGATTTCTTTTAAGGAAGAGTCATTTTCAGTAAGACGCCAGTGCTTGCGGACAGTAGTTTGTCAGATCGGTATGAAAGGTGAAAACAAATGGAATTCTATCTGTGCGGATCGTCTTATCTTTGTATTCCATGAGGATCTTTCGATCTTTTTCTTGGGCTTTATCGATAGTTTCTGTGGCATTTTTGTTTTTGTATCCTCTTGATTTTAGTTGTTTTCTGAGTTGTCCCAAACGGTAGTTGAGTTTGAATTCCGAGGAGCAAATTTGCTTTAGTCTGATGGCTTGACTGAAAGGAATATCCCTGAAGCAGTGTTTCGAGTGACAACTTTTCAGAGAGGGAAACTGGTGTTTGTCAGTTTTCTTAGTGTGGAGATCAGTTGTCATGACCCCGTTTTTTACATGGTGTCGAGAAATGCAATTGTCTCGTTTGAAAATTCATATGTAAATTCTATTGAATGATGCAACATGTTACAATGATCTTTAAAATCTTGCAGATGTTCGGAGTATCGTTCCATTTCATGTCAATATCATCAAAAGGATGCGTTCTTCACGATACTCCATAAAAATGTTGGCAGAAAAGGGTTCCATTTTTGTTCCAATACTAGTACCGTCAATCTGTAAAACGTTCTTGTCGTTGAAAATAAAGTTATTTTTAAGCACTGGCTTAAGAAACTGATCTAGACAGTCAGTTGGGGGATGTTTATCCTTTCGAGTGTTCCATACTTTTTCACACGCGGTTATTCCTTCATTTTCGGAATATTAGTGTATAAAGAACACACATCCATCGAAACCAAAATTGTGTTGTTACATGTAGGTAAGGGACTTAAGGAATTTGTTTTCTTCAAATAGTCAGTTGTATCTTGAATATGAGATGGCAGTGTCTAACTTGTGGTCTAAGGTGGTAATCAACGAATTTCGGTAGGATGACCATTTGCTTTATGGAGTTTTGGAAGTAAATAAAATCTACCGGCTGTGCAACTTTCATCTGGGTGTAGATAATCGTACGTGTCATCATCAATTTGTTTATCTTTATTCATTTCTGAGATGACGTCATTTATTTTTATATATATATATATATATATATATATATATATATATATATATATATATATATATATAAGTCTAGAGATTTGCACAACGATACTAATATAAGATGGTATTATACGAAGCTATTGAGCTATTTTTATACATATAATCAGTATTGTTAAAATAACTGACACTGAAGAAGGCTATTTGTTAAGCCGAAATATTTGTCAACACGATTTATTAACAACATCTTCGTGCATAAGAATGTAACTTTAACACACTAATAAATGTTATAAAAATAGTTGTTATATTTTATATGTTCACACAATAATTCGCTAAACAAATTAGATTCATCAGGCGCAGGCGCGTGCAGCCATCCAGGTAAAAATCGGATGCTGTAAAGAAATTTTTGCAGCCTATTGTAAATTGCGATTGATCGTTTCTTCCGGTAGCCATATTGTATAGCAGCACGAAAATTCACAGAGCACAGTTTTTAGAGTTTTATAGTGTTTGAGAGTCTGTTTTCCAAAACGTTTTAGCATCTTCACTAATATTTTTATCCCATTTCTCCATCAGCATAACTTTTTTACCTCTTTTGTAAATATTCATCGTGTGTAGACTTTTTTACCCACGCACCTGTATATATTTATAAGGTCATTTTTATAAATTTCCTGTTACAAAACTTTGAATTTTTCGGAAAACTAAGGATTTTCTTATCCCAGGAATAGATTACCTTAGTCGAATTTGCACAACTTTTTGGAATTTTGG